AAAGTTACTTTCTGGACATAGTGTCCTTCAAAGTTTCAGTTACAGGACTTTTGTTCTTCAGTGCCAAACCAGGCCCATCCTGTCTGTCCCTTCTCCTGCAGCCAGCTCAGCCTTCCCGACATCAGCCAGGAACAATTTCATCCCTAAAGATAATGTGGAATGCACAGGGGAAGCCTCAGCCCTTCCCTGGCTCCTTGCTCATCATCTCACACGGGCATTTGGGGAGGAGGAGTGGAGGGCATCAAGGTGAACTCCACTCCTCTCCCTCTGCACAGCACAGAGGAGATTCCCTCTGCAGGAATGTTAACTGTTACTGAAGGCTCTGGGAGTTGAACGGTTCTCCAAGAGAAGCAATAATATATATATAAATATATATAGATATATATAAAAAGCCCATTGGATGAGTCAGTCCAGCCTGTGTTCCGCTGCGCTGCCCTTCCAGGAAGGGAAGCCTGCTCCCGAAACAGAGCCCTGACTCACAGGGTTCTTGGAACTGAGAGGAGACTCATTCAACTTCTTCCCTAAGCGAGAAGTTCGCTCAAAACCAGGCACAGAGCTTCTCTGCCCACAGGAGCAGGAAGAATCCTGGGGCACTGGTGCAGCACAAGGGGCTGGGACAGCCCTGTGCTGTTGGAAGGCACCCAGGGGAGTCTGGAATCACTGAGCTCTACAAGCTGGGAGACAGGAACACCTCTGAGCTGCCCCACTGGAGATCCTCCTGCCTCAGCCCAGCCTGGGCATCAGCTGAACCCCAGGCACATGAATAAAGCACAGCCAGCACCTGGGAATCCCTACAGGAGCCCAGCACACCTTACCTCCGCCCACATCCAGCTGTGGTCAGTCTCCAGCTCCTCAGGGACAAAAAAGGCTTCCAGAGGCCAAGTCACACAGCAGGGAAAGCAAATTCCATCCTGGCTGCCCCCCCGGCAGCCAGGGAAACTCTGAAGCACAGGGTTCCAGTGCGTAACTACGGCGCAAGCAACAAGCCAGGCTTTCTTCAAGCCCTTCTGATGCATCAACACATGAGATAGCCAAGGACTCATCTCTGGGAGTTCCCTCTTTGGTTACATAAACACCAACCTCAGCTTAACCCTTTCGTGCTGCAGCACAGGCCACATCCACCAGGAAAAATCCCCACTCCAGCCCAACACCCTGGCAGCAGGAGCCTGGAAATGCAGCTGCAGCACTTGAGGCTGCACTGCTGCCCCAGCACGTGAGTCCCTGACCCAGACTGTGCCTGCAGTCAGGCTGTGCTCACCTTCCCAACCCCACCAGGGGTGAGGGGTGGGCTGTATGACACGGTTTTATTTCTCATTGATTGCTTCTGACACTATCAATATGCCACAAGCCCCTGCAGCAGGACCTCTGTGTGCACAGAGTGTGACCCACACACGTGCTGACACTTCCCAGCGAGGTGTGGCTGCAGTTTCTCTCAGCAGTGACTCACCTGGCCCTACCTGGAGACAAACGTGTTGGAGTTACCTGCACACACTGCCAGGCCTACTCTACTGGTGTCTGCAGTGTGACAACACACTGACTGCACACATGCAAAAAAAATATTAACCAAAACAGTCTGTTTCACACAGAAAATGGCCACACACAGCCTACTCTGTCCAGCAAGAGCTCCCAGGTAGGAAGGAGACACACACTGCACCTGCCTGGAGCACCTGGAGCCCCTGCATGGGTAACACCCCCTTCAATGGGCAGCTCAGGCACAATCCCCAGGGCTGTCCCTATTCATAGTCACAGAATGGATTGGGTTGGGAGGGACCTTAAAGACCCTACCACCCTCCTGCGACGGGCAAAGAGACTTTTCACTACCCCAGGTTGCTCCAAGCCCTGTCCAACTTGGTCTGGAACATTTCCAGGGATGAGGCAGCCACAGCTTCTCTGGGTAACCTGTGCCAGGGCCTCCCCACCCTCCCAGGGAAGAATTTCTCCCTAACATCCCATCTAACCCTGCCCTCTGTCACTGTAAAGCCATGTCCCCTTGTCCTGTCACTTGATGCTCTTGTAAATAGTTTCTGTCCATCTTTCTTGTAGCCCATTCAGGTACTGGAAGGGGCAGTTATTCCACCCTGAAGGCTCTCTTCTCCAGGCTGAACAACCCCAGTTCTCTCATAGCAGAAGTGCTCCAGCCCTCTGATCAGGTTGGTGCCTCCTCTGGACTCACTCCAACAGGTCAATGTCCTTTCTGTGCTGAATCACAGCCCAGCTCAGTGCCCAGGAGGCTTCCCTTGCCTGTCCCAATCTCTGAAACATCCTGAGGGTCACAGCTGAACTTTGCTTTTAAGGAGCACAGTTATGAGATCAAACCCTCAGCATGGACACCACAGAGAAACAACCAATGGATGCAGCACGAGCCCTCCAGCAACGGGGAAATGTCCTGAACCCTGAGTGCTGCCAGCCCAGGGCTCCATGCCAGCAGGTGAGTGCTCCCCTGCTGTCCCTCGGGCCACGCCTCACCTGGGTGCCAGGCACCTCCCCTGTGCCCCACTGTGTCCCTGCTGCCTCAGAGGAGCTGGGTACTGTCCACAGCACGTGGCAGAGGGGTGGTGGCTCAGCCCCCCCACATCAGGCAATGGACTCTGCTCCGACTTCTCCAGCTCCCTCTGGACACAGGATTGCAGCCCCAGACACCCAGCACATCTGTTCATCACAGATGTTAAGCTCACACATTAAGGCTCTGAACTAGCAAAGAACTGAATCCCCAGCTCTGGTGCAGCACATTTCAGCACAGCCTGGGCAGCAGGGAGCAGCTGGATGGGCACAACCCTAAACCCGTGTGCAGGGGGTGGAGATGATGTCCCATGGGGTCCCCCCAGCAGTGAGACCTTTCACACCCTCAGTGCTGCACAGGCAGCAGGGCTCCCAAAGGCCACGAGCAGAGAGGGACAGCACCCGGCTCTGGGGGTGGGAGGTCCCCCCAGCCCCTCGGGTGAGCAACCAGGGAGTGCAGGGCAGGGTCCGGCCCTGCTCTGACACCTGCTGCTGTTACTCACCCTCACTCCGAGGCACAGCCCTCACCTACTCACTGCTGAGGCACACCAGGCTCCTCCTCGGCACAGAGGTCCCAAAAGTCTAAATTCAAAGACTCCTGCCCAGGCTGGAGGCAAAGCCAGCCCCAGTCACGGGCTGCGCCTCCTTCAGCCCCTCGGTGCTGGCAGCAGCCCCAGCCCCCCGAGCTGCTGCGGGGCTCAAACCTAGCCCCGAGCCTGGAGAACACCGGCAGCACCGAGCCGAGCCGGGCGGCCAAGGCTCCCCGAGCCGCCGGCACCGGGGAGCTCCCCCGGGCCGGTCCCACCGAGGCCCGGCGGACGATCGGTACCAGCAGCTCCCGGCCCAGCGCACAGCGGGACCGCGATGGGGACGGGTCCCGGGGCCATGTCCCCCAACGCTCCACCCTGTCCCTGCTTCGCCCTCATTCCGACAGCCCCAGCTCCCTCGTCTCTGACCCGTACCCACAGCCCCGGGCCCGGTTCCCCCTCACTCACCCCTGGCCCAGCCCGGTTCCCCCGCTCTCTCCCATCCCTCACCCACCCCTGGCCCAGCCCGGCTCCCCCGCTCTCTCGCACCCCTCACTCACCCCTGGCCCGGTCCCGGTTCCCCCGCTCTCTCCCATCCCTCACTCACCCATGGCCCAGCCCGGTTCCCCCCGCTCTCTCGCACCCCTCACTCGCCCACGGCCCGGTCCCGGTTCCCCCTCTCTCTCGCACCCCTCACTCACCCCTGGCCCAGCCCGGTTCCCCCGCTCTCTCGCACCCCTCACTCACCCATGGCCCCGGGCCCGGCCCGGCCCGGCCTCGCTCCGCTCCGGCGGCCGCCTGGCACCGGAAGTGACGCGCCGCCACCGCCCCCCACCGCCAGCCCGCCCCCTGCCGGCCGCCGCCGGAACGGGGAAACGGCGGCGCTGATTGGGCGACGGCGACAGCGCGGGCGGTGATTGGAGGAGAGCCCGGGGGCCAGACCGGGTTTTGCGGCGGGCTCTGATTGGTTGGGGCGTGCAGCAGAGAGGGAAGCAAGCAGCGGGCGCTGATTGGCTGTGGTGCGATCAACCCGTCGCTGATTGGCTCAGGCTGGGGCCAGGAGCCTGCAGGGTTGGTGAGCTCGCGGGAGATTCGAACGCGCCGTGATTGGCCAAGGGGCGGGGCCTGTCGCGATGACCACGCCCACAGACACAGCGGGCCACGCCCACACAGCCCCGCCCGGCGGTACCGGGACCCCCGGACTGGGAGACGCTGGACTGGGACACCCTGAGTTTGGAGCTCCGGATTGGGGCACGGTGGGTTGGGATACCCTGGGTTTGGACCCCCGGACTGGGATCCCCCCACTGGAACACCCTGGGTTGGAACACCCTGAGTTTGGACCCCCGGATTGGGGCACCCTCGGTTGGGATCCCCGGGCTGGAACCCCCGAATCCCCGCGCTCTCAGCCCCGGGCTGGGACCGGCGGGGTTGGAACCCCCCGGGCTGAGCCCCTGCGCTGCTGCCCAGCCCCAGGCCCGTGCAAACAAGCACCCCCAGGGCACAGCCCCCAGTGCGCTCGCAGAGGCCACACGGCTCCGTGTCCCACGGGGTCCCTGTGGGAACAGGCTGCAGACTTTGGTGGCACTGCAGAGTTTGGTGATGGAGGGGCAGGAAGCAGAGGAGCTGGCAGTGCCAGCGTTCTGTGTTCTGGGTGAAGCACGTTCCTGCTTTTTCAGGCAGACAGTGCTGCCCCTTCCCCTGTGTGTTCACTCCCCTTCATCTCGCTGAACACTTCCAGAATGGTGGCTCAGCAGGAAGATGAGCACAGACCAGAACCAGCCCCTGCCCAGCTCAGCACCAGCGGCTCCAGCTCCAGGGTAGCTGTGCTGGTGACAGCAAGTCCTTTGCTCAGCGGGCACGGAAAGGCTGAGCCAGGGGCAGTGGGATGGCAGCTCCAGCCAAGGGTCTTTTGGCCACTGGAGGAGGGCCATGAGCTGCTGCCAATGGAGCAGGAAATGAGCAGAGAGACCAGAAAGCCTTTAAGTGGTGTTATTCACTACAAAAACCAGTCCTGCTCCTCTGCAGGTGTGGGGAACAGCAGACCCTCAAATCCCCTGCGGAAAATGTTCCTCGGGGGCTGTCGTTGGGTGGGACAGAGGGAGCTGGCAGTCCATCCTGGGCCGTGGGCAGCACCAGGCCCTCACTTGTGCTTGGCGTGAGGGAACTCGCTGCGGCCCTTGTCGCGGCCCCCGAAGTAGCGCACCCTGTGGATGGCCCGCAGCTGCTCCTCGATGGCGGCCCTGATGTCCACCTCGTCGGGGATGTGCACGTAGCGGATGTTCCTGCCGGTCACAAAGAGCTCGTCCAGCTGGGACACGGCGCCGTGCCGGTCCGTGAAGGTCACCTCGGCCAGGCGCACGTTCATGAAGGCGTCCACGCTGGTGACGCGCCCCGCGGCCGAGCTCTCGTCGCGCAGCTCCACCGTGGTGACGCGGCCGCGCAGGCCCTGCAGCAGGATCACCAGGCTGTTCTCGGCGATGGTGCGCTCCTTCAGGGAGTGGCTCACCTCCATGGCGGCTGCGGCGGGACAGGGGATGGGCACAGGGGCTGGGGACAGCCGCCTGCTGGGCCTCACAGGGAGCAGTCCCTGTCCATGGGCCAAGCCCTGCACACACACCTGAGCATGGACCAAGCCCTGCACACACACCTGAACATGGACCAAGTCCTGCACACACACCTGAGCATGAACCAACCCCTGAACACACACACCTGCCCATGGACCAAGCCCTGCACACACACCTGAACAAACCAGTCCCTGAACACACACACCTGCCCACTGTACCAACCCTCAATCGCTCGCCTGCACGCACACATCGCCCCTCGCACTCTCACCTGCACACCTATCACCGGTCACACGCCCACCAGCACACACGGCCCCTTTCACACCCACCTGCACACACACGGCCCCTTTCACACCCACCTGCACACTCACCTGCTCTCACACCACCCCTCGCACTCCCCTGCACTCCAGCATCCCTCGCACACTCCCCGCACGCCGCCCCTCGCCCCAGTCACTCCCATTCTCCTCGCCCACCCCCCTGGCACACGTACCACCCTCCCCTCGCACTCTCCCTGCCCTCAGCCCCCCTCCACACCCGCTGTCCCCTCCCAGGTCCCCCCGCTGTCCCCATCCCCCTCCCGCACTCACGCGCCGCCGCCGCCTTCCCGCGCGCTCGCCCGCGCCGCCCCGCCCCTCGCGCACGCGCGGCCGCGCCCCTCGCCCCGCCCCTCGAGGCTGGAAGGGGCGGGGCGGCCACGCGCGGTGTCCGTGTGTCCCGGTGTCACAATGTCCCCAACTCCAGTTGTACCCATGTCCCGTAGTCCGCGTGTCCCAATATCCCTATGTCCCGTTGTCCGCATGTCCCAATGTCCCGTTGTCCGTGTGTCCCAATATCCCTATGTCCCGGTGTCCGCGTGTTCCAATGTTCCCATGCCCCGTTGTCCGCGTGTCCTGCTGTCCGTGTGTCCCAGCGTCCCGCTGTCCGCGTGTCCCGGTGTCCGCGTGTCCCAATGTCCCGTTGTCCGAGTGTCCCAAAATCCCTATGTCCCGGTGTCCCTATGTCCCGGTGTCCGCGTGTTCTAATGTTCCCATGCCCCGTTGTCCGCGTGTCCCGCTGTCCGTGTGTCCCGCTGTCCGCGTGTCCCGTGTCCCGCTCAGAGCCCGTCCATCAGTGCCAGCAGGTCCTCGCCCTTCTCGCCGCTGCCCGGGCGCGGCTCCGCCACGTCCAGCTCGCCCAGGATGCGGGACAGCTCCGCCCGCCGCGCCGGCTCCTGCGGGACAGACACCGCTGTGGCACCGCGCCCGGGGCCGGGCTCCCCTGGGACGTGCCCCTTCTTCACCCAAGTCCGCTAAAAACTTGCTCTGGTGTTTGTCAGGATTCAAGTTTTCTTACTAAATATTCGTCAATTCCACCGTCTTGGCAGAAAATTGGCAATTACTTAGTTACGAGCTTAAGTGAAATGGGAAAAAATGTATTTTTAAGTCCCTACTCTGGGTGAAACATGGGTGAAACAGGGATGGTGAGAATCGGTGATGTGAAACATACCTGTACGTTTTCACATACGTACCTGTGTGGCTTCAATGTTGATAACCTTGTAGGACAACTCCTCTGGCCTGGTCTGTGCAGCGTGTCTTGATTAAAAACATGAGAAGAGTGGTTAATCCCATGAAGATGTATAAGCAAATGATAAAAATCAGACTTCATCAGGTTCCTGTAGGCACAAATGATGCTCAGAGGATGCTCACAGGGCCAGACTGGACGGGGCTTGAAGCAGCCTGGTCTACTGGAAGGTGTCCCCTCCATGGCAGAGTGGAATTAGAGGACCCTTAAGCTCCCTTCCAACCCAAACCATTCTGAAATTCCATGAAGTTTGGCAATGGCTCTGTTCCTACTTGGCAAATGAATGTTTTCACCCCGGTTTGGAGGTTTCTCCCTGTCGTAGATATTTTAGTTAAGTGTAGAAGAGCAGGAATATTTCTGCAGCAGAAACACGCAGACAGAAACATCCTGCTAAACTGGCTGGAGTCATATTTCTCTCCAGTGGCATTGGGACAAAAGCTGCATCACAGAGACACCTGGAGCAGGATAACAACACACTGCTCTGACCCTAAAGCTCTCGAGGGCCAGCTCTGCTCTGCAGGGCTCCCCACAGGGCACCCCAAACCCAAACCCAGAAGGATTCCAGCGTACTCCTCCTCCTCGTCCGTGGTGAACAAGTTCAGCCGAAATCCCGACTCGCCACCAGCGGGTTTCTGGATGTCCAAACCTCCCAGCAGCCGGGCCAAAAAGTTCAGCTCAGTGGAATGGCAGAGTGGAATTAGAGGACCCTTAAGCTCCCTTCCAACCCAAACCATTCTGAAATTCCATGAAGTTTGGCAATGGCTCTGTTCCTACTTGGCAAATTAATGTTTTCACCCCAGTTTGGAGGTTTCTCCCTGTCCTAGATATTTAAGTGTAGAAGAGCAGGAATATTTCTGCAGCAGAAACACGCAGACAGAAACATCCTGCTAAACTGGCTGGAGTCATATTTCTCTCCAGTGGCATTGGGACAAAAGCTGCATCACAGAGACACCTGGAGCAGGATAACAACACACTGCTCTGACCCTAAAGCTCTCGAGGGCCAGCTCTGCTCTGCAGGGCTCCCCACAGGGCACCCCAAACCCAGAAGGATTCCAGCGTACTCCTCCTCCTCGTCCGTGGTGAACAAGTTCAGCCGAAATCCCGACTCGCCACCAGCGGGTTTCTGGATGTCCAAACCTCCCAGCAGCCGGGCCAAAAAGTTCAGCTCTTCTTTAGCAAGAGGGTTGGGGGCTATGTTCTCCTGCAGGAAACAGCAATGGGCTCGTTGGGCAATTACCTGGGGCTGCAAGGAGCTTTGATATTCTGTATATGTCCTTCATATATTCCTATATTGTATTAAAGTCCTTCAGAGGGATATAAACACATTTATTTCCCTGTTATTCCTGGGACAGATTGGGCAGATAACCACAGTAATCACCAGCTCCATACTGGAAATGGTTGCTTGAATTTATAGACTCAGCACAAGATACTTTTCCAGCTAAACTGGACAAATGAGAAATCTGTAAAGCCAACTTTCTGTTTTCTGAGGAGATTAAAATGGAAGCCAGCACATCCTTGCAGGAGCGTGTGGATTCTTTGGGAAAACATGCCCTGGCTTCACAGGACTGGGGAGGATTGGATGAGGCTCTGGGAACACCAGAAAAGCTTCCCTGACCTTATCCCATATCTGTAGAATAAGAATTGGATAGTTTAAGTGATAGGAGGAAGACAACACTGACCTTTGCCTGGGATGCCAGGTTTTTGGATGAGCCTGACATGTGTGTCTCCACTGGCCGGGTCACGCTGTACCTGGAGGGAAAACACTAGTGGAAGAACAGCTTGTTCTGGGACCAGGTACAGCAACCAGAGGGAGAGCACAGAATTTTAGGATAATTTCCTGAAGACTGAACAAATGCAATGAGAAGTTGCAGCTGAGTGTGGAGGCAGTAAGGTGTGTGAGGGACAAAGCTGTGAGAAGGAACACAAATCTCATTGAATGGAAAATGTACATTAAGGCAAACAAGGAGAACAGAGAGGATTTCTTGACTGTGGTTACATTAAATCACATTTCACAGGAGATGCAGCACCAGGTGAGGACACTCTTTCCTCAGCTCCACTGTGGACATAAATCAAAGTTTTGCTGGTTTTTGCAGCTCTTTGTACACTGTCCACACATGTCCTGGTGCAGGACAGCACCTTGTAACAAAGTCAACCTGATAATTAATAACAGAAGAGACCAAAACCACACCAGGCTGAAGATGTGCTTCTGACCAATCCATCAGCATTTGGTTCAGGTTTCTACACAGAACAAAAATTACTTACATATTTGTTCCAAGTTTGAGGACTCTGTCTCCATAAAGCTCAAAAGATCCTTCCCTTTGTGGAGTAACATAATTCCCAGCAGTGGTGAACTCAGCCCTTTTAACTTCCACTCCTTTGTGATTGAATATCCTTAAAAACAAGGCATTATTGAAACATTTAGTGGCTTCAGTCCTGATTTTAGTACCTAGTTCCTCTGCTTTCTGCATGAGGGGAATAAAACTCTATTCTGTATAATAACAATAACAATAATAATAAAATTAATAAAATAAATAATACTTATGTATAATAATGTTAAATACTACTACTAATAATAATAATAATTCTGTACATTGCTAAATGCCTCTGTTATGGGATAAATTACTAACAGCTAATTTATTGGGATAGAAAACTCCAAAAGCAGCTCAGCATTTCATTGGTGGGTGACTTAGTCCTAAATTCTGCCCTTTAAATAGTATTTCTCATTATTATTATTATTATTAATAATAATAATAATTCTATATGATAGCAACATTATATTATGTATAATATTAATATTCTGTGTACTAATAATATTAATAGTTCTGTACATTGCTAAATGCCACTGTTATGGGATAAATTAATGATAGCTAATTTATTGGGATAGAAAACTCCAAAAGCAGCTCAGCATTCCATTGCTGGGTGACTTAGTCCCAAATTCTGCCCTTTAAATAATACTAAATAGTAATAATAATATAATATAAGAAAAATAAAATAAAGTATAATAATAATGATAATAATAATAATAATAATAGTCTCTTAAATAGTATTTACTGCAGGTTCAGCTATCCATGCAGCAGGAATGGCAGTTTGAGCTGGATTCCTGAGCCCTGTGGCATGAGATGCTGCTCTCTGGGCAGCCCCACAGTGGCACCAGCTCACCTGATGAGCCCTGGCACCTCTGTGCCCCAGGGGACAGGCCCCGAGATTGGCAGCACGAAGCGACCGTTGGAGTTTTGCACTTTATCCTTCAGGAAGATGGAGACCTGCAAAGGGACATCACAAACATCACACCCTGGGGAAATCCCCATGGACCTTCCCATCCAAATTCCCTGAAATCTGAGCTTGAGCCTCTCTGCCTGCGCTGGGGAAGGGCTCCCAGAGCTCTTGATCTGTGTAGGGATGTATTTACAAAGCCAGTGGTGTGGAATTGTGGTCCAGAGGATGGGCACACTGACCTAACATTAAAAAAATTATATTAAAATCTACATCCTGTTCGTGCACATGAGTGTGACCAATTTGTTGTGTGACCAATTTGTTTAGAGAACATCAAGACTTCATGCTCAGGTTTCCTATCAAGTTTCCTCTAAAAGGAAAAACAGATTTATCAAACAGCAAATCACACTAGTAGAGATTCCTTTTTTCATCATATTGTAGAATTATTCAGCATTATTGCAGTATATGTGCTCAATTTGTGAAATTTGACTGCAATTACAAGCACATCAAGATGATTGAAAAGCACAAACAACAAACCCAAACCTGCAGTGTTTATAAGCAGATCCTTTTATATTCCAGCCCCAAACTCTCTGCCATTCTCCCTGCCTAGTTGGATTGGGCTCTTACCCTGATGTGCATGTCCTGGAAGAAAACGAGAAGTGTTTGCCTGATGAGCTGGAATTCACCATCAGAGAGACAGTTGTAGGTCTGGAAAAGGAAAATCATCATGCAAGGGTTTACAGGTGTGCCATGTCCCACCCAGGGAAAAGAGGGAACAAGCAAGTACAGCTGAATATTCTGATCCACTTTCAGGGGGAGCAGAGATGCTCTAAGGGGGCTGCTGG